GCATAGAATTCCATTGTGTATATGTACCACAATTTTTGGATCCATTCATTTACTGATGGGCACCTAGGTTGCTTCCAACTCTTGGCTGTTGTAAATTGTGCTGCTATGAACATTGGGGTGCATAGGTTCTTTGAAATGGATGTTTTAGGATTCTTAGGATATAATCCCAGCAGTGGAATTGCTGGGTCAAAAGGCAGGTCGATTTTTATTTTTCTGAGAAAAATCCATACTGTTTTCCATAATGGTTGTACCAGTCTGCACTCCCACCAACAGTGAACTAAGGACCCCTTTTCCCCACAACCCCTCCAACATTTGTTGTTTGTTGCTTTGTTTATGATAGCCATCCTGACTGGTGTAAAGTGGTATCTCATTGTGGTTTTAATTTGCATCTCTCTGATAGCTAATGATATTGAGCATCTCTTCATGTGTCTCTGAATGTTCTGTATGTCCTCCTTGGAGAAGTGTTTGTTCAAGTCCTTTTCCCATTTTCTAATTGGGTTGGGTGTCTTCTTAGAGTGGAGTCGTGTAAGTTCTTTGTAAAATGTTTTCAAACATTTAAAGTTTTCAACATGTCAAAAACATTTATAATTAGCTCTGGCTGGTATGGCTCAGTGGATTGAGTGCTGGCCTGTGAACCAAAGCGTCACCAGTTGGACTCCTACTCAGGGCACCTGCCTGGGTTGTGAGTCAGGTCCCCATTAAGGGATTCGCCAGAGGCAACCACACACTGATGTTTCTCTCCTTCTCTTTCTCCCTCCCTTCACCTCTCTAAAAATAAATAAATAAAATCTTAAAAATATGTTTATAATTAAAACATTAACAGTCATTAGTTACTATTTTCCATATATTTAATAAAAGACCCCAAAATAAATTTTATTTTATATAATATCTTTGATATAGAGTTTTTAACTGCCCAACATAATCTTTTCCCATTTTGAAAGATTCCAAAATATTTCTTTGATTGAAAGAACAGAATGGATCAGTGAGATTCAGGCAACATTAGGAAGTGTCAAAGAAGAGGGTAAGAAAGGCCGATGATTACAAAGGACATTTGAAAATGAAGTTATATTTGGCTTAGTACAAAAGTAAAAAATACATGAACAATGAAATATATAGAACATTGAGATATAAAAAAGTACCCCACATAAGAATACTTAGTATGATACTTAAGTTTCAATAGTCATCCTTTACATGTCTAACTGGATTCCTGAGAGTAAGAAAAATCGGTAAGAGCTTTAAAAAGGGTAAGAAACTCAAAAGCGGTGCAATAACCTTGAACTGATACCACAGCTGCCTGGAGGGTTTTGCTAATAGTAGGAATCTAGGCTTTGACAGTAAGACAAAGAGAAACTAATCCTTGATTCCTACACAGCACAGTGAGAACTGGAGGTAATATCACTACAAACAAACTTTGAGTTCCTTATATATTTTGGAGATCAAATCCTTGTCAGAAAGCATATTTGCAAATATGCTTTCCCATATGGTTGGTTCTCTTTTCATTTTAATGCTGTTTTCTTTAGCCATGCAGAAGCTTTTTATTTTGATGAGATTCCATTTGTTTATTCTTTCCTTTATGTCCCTTGCTCTAGGGGACATATTGGTGAAAATATTACTGTGTGGAATATTTGAGATTTTCCTGCCTGTGTTCTCCTCTAGGACTTTTATGGTGTCAGAACTTATATTTAAGTCTTTTTTATCCACCTGGAATTTATTTTTGTGAATGGTGTAAGTTGGTGATCGAATTTCTTTTTTTTGCATGTAAGCTGTCCAGCTCTCCCATCACCATTCCTTGAAGAGGATATTTTTACTCCATTTTTGCTTCTGCCCCCTTTTCTGAATATTAATTGACCATACAGACTCTATTCCAGGGAGATGAACAACCTAATTAAAAATGGGCAAAGGACTTGAACAGACACTTCTTCCAGAAGGACATACAAAGGGCCCAGAGACATATAAAAAGATGCTCAGCATCACTAGCCATCAGAGAGATGCAAATTAAAGCCACAATGAGATACCACTTCACACTGGTCAAAATGGCCATCATAAACAAATCAACAAACAAGTGCTGGTGAGATTGTGGAGAAAAAGGAACCCTAGTGCACTGCTGATGGGATTGCAGACTGGTACAGGCACTGTGGAAAACATTATAGAATTTCCTCAGAAAACTAAAAATGGAACTGCCTTTTGACCTGGCAATTCCACTGCTGAGATCATACCCTAAGAACCCTGAAACACCAATTCAAAAGTAGCTATGCACCCCAATGTTCACAGCAGCACAATTTACAATAGTCAAATGCTAGAAGCAACCTAAGTGCCCATCAGAAAATGAATGGATCAAAAAACTATGGTACATTTACACAATGGAATTCTATCCAGCAGAAAGAAAGAAGGAACTCCTACCCTTTGCAACAGCATGGATGGAACTGGAGAGCATTATGCTAAGTGAAATAATCCAGGCAATGAAAGACAAATGCCATATGATCTCACCTATAAGTGGAACCTAATCAATAAAATGAACGAGCAAGTGAAATATAACCAGAGACAGTGAAATTAAGAACAAACTGACAGTAAACAGAGAACAGGAGGTAGGGGATCATAGGGGAGAAAGTGGGGAGGGTTGTCAGGAACTTATATAAAGGACACATGGACAAAACCAAAGGTGGGTAGGGATCAAAGGTGGGAAGTGGGGATGGCTGGGGTTGAGGGGAAGAGTAAGGGGAAAATGGAGACAACTGTACTTAAACAACAATAAAAAAAGTTAGCCCTGGCTGGTGTAGCTCAGTGGACTGAACGCTGGCCTGCGAAGCAAAGGGTCGCTGGTTCGATTCCCAGTCAGGGCACATGCCTGGGTTGCAGGCCAGGTCCCCAGTAGGGGACACGTAAGAGGCAACCACACATTGATGTCTCTCTCCCACTCTTTCTCCTCCCCTTCCCCTATCTCTAAAAATGAATAAATAAAATATTTAAAAAAATAATAAAAAAGTTAAAAAAGATGTAAACAAACCAAAAAAATGAGTGAGGTTTTTGTAATGTTAAGTGCTACCTCAATAAAGTTCTTTAAGAAAAAGAAAGAAACCTTGAAAACTTATATTCCCTATGAAAAGATGTATTTTAAAAAATCTATTCAACAGCTAAGGAAAATGATAGTAACCTGTTCATTTAAACCTCAGGTCCTAATAGAAAAGGCTGAAGGAATTTCAAGCTGAAAAATTAATGCTGAATGGTCTTAAATTCTAATACCTTGAGATCCCTAGCAAAGCAAATATAAATCCTTTCTATGAGAATGTGCTCCTTTTTACACTTAGTATGATGTTATTTTTATATTTATTTTATTTTTTAAATTATCATTTTTTTGGCCTTTTTGTCAATGTATAGTTCTCCAAGTTTTCATACATGTATAGATTCATAAAAATACTACTACAATCAGGGTATAGAATAGTTCCTTCATCCCCAAACATCTTTTTGTGTGCTTATTCATCATCTGTATATTCATTTTATTTTTTAAAATATATTTTATTTCATTTCATTCTATTTATCACTGGTCAAGCACAGTGTCTCCACTTTCTCCCCACCCCCACCCACACCCCCCCTCACTTCTCACCCTCAATCCTACCCACCTTTGGCTTTGCCTCTGGGTCCTTTATATTAGTTCCTTGACAATCTTCCCCTTCTTTTTCCTGTTATCCCCCTCCCCCCTCTCCTAACCCCACAAAACCCAGTAAGATTCCAACAGATTTAGATAACCTAAAATGAATTCACAATTTTAAATTACCAGGATAACAGGAAAATAAGAAACAAGGAGTAGAGTCAACAGAAATAACAAATAGCAGAATTAGATTTGACTTTGGCTGTTAGAAATAACAAATACTAGAGGGGACCCAAAAAGCCCAGGAGTATCTTCTGGAGGGCAGGCCCCTCCTAGCACAGGATTCCTCGGCTAGGAGCGTGTTCTAGGAACCCATCTGTATCAGTGTACCAGCTGGTGTTGTAAGAGGGTGTGTTCAGCTTCAGCGAATATTTTTTGGAAGACTATTTCAATGCCTTTGCACATATTTCATGACAGGCAATTTACAAGTGTACCTGTCCATACCCCACTGAGTGTTCAACAGTTTTTGATAAAAAACAGCATGACCCGCACCCCATCCTCCCTATTCACCCAATCTCACTGCAAATCACTGTTTTTGTTGTTTCCCTGGATTTAAAAAGTCCTCAAAAGAAAACATTTTGCCATTGTGGGAGAGGTGAAACAAAAAATGGCAGGAGCTCTGAATGGCATCAAAATCAACAAGTTGGAAAACTGTTCTGAGCAGCGGGGAAAAAGTCTCAGTAGGTGTATTGCATCAAATGGAGAGTGCTTTGAAGGTGACTCAGTTTAAACATGTAAGAACACACAATTTTTTTGTAAATAAATTCCAATTTTTAAGGGTTCTCCCTTCATAGATACTATAGAATCACTGTTTAAAAAGTTATAAAAAGAAGAATTAAAATATGAGCAAGGAAAACATTATTAAAAACAAACCAAATTAATTTCTAGCAATGAAAAATACATTTAACTAAAAACCTAACTATAATTATATATTTTTTCAAAGAATGTTTTAAATATTGGGGAAAATAATTATAGAGTAATTATTAAATGATCAAAGCATTTTTTAATGTTTATTATGTGTGACAATTACATGGTGATTATTTTACATGTAAATATTTTTAGCTGTGTGTACTATATACTGTAACATGTTCTCTGGGCTTTGCTTCAAAATACTTCATCAAAGTAAAAAAGGAGTAAATAAAACAACTGTTAGATACATGTGAGAATATGAAATCTGAGTGATGTGTACATGAGAAATTTTTATAACAATAAAATGAAAACTCACTGGATAGGATAATCAGAATTTTAGATATAACAAAAAAAGAGAATTAGAGAATTAGGAGATGTATTTGAAGTGACTATCCATATTGAGTGAAATTTAAAGGCAAAAAAAGAAAGACAGAAAGAGACTCACCTTCCTTCGGGCTCACTGCGGCGGGAAGACAGTCCCAGTCAAGGGTCCAGGCAGGGCAAGGGTGCGGAGAGAACACCGCTTCAATGCCTTTCTCCTGGAAAGGAAATAGGCCCTTTACAAACTGAGGAATTAATAAAATTCTATTACATTCTACAAGGCCTAATTTCTATTTTCTATACTAGCAAGTAAGATCATAAATATGAAGTCATCAGGTTTCCTCAAAACATTGGGTTACATAATAAATATAGCACATTGAGACTTTTTGACAGCAGCTATTTTTCTATTATTTTTAACACTGAAGTAAGAAAAAGTAATAATACAGTATTTAAAAATTATTACCTGAAAATACATAGAAGTAAAGAGCTATCTAGAAATATATTGGGTGTCAAAGAGAAAAGCTACCTGAGGATAAAATTTTATAAAAAAACAATCCACAAAGGGGTGATATGAAACCGACTCTGCATATATCCATCAATATCTGCGTTTACATATATGGACATTGCCATACCTAGGAGCTATATTTTATAAGACTGAAAAGCCCCTCTTCAGTGTACATCCCAATAGATCATCGATGCCAATGTCTTATGAGTGCCAGCGATGTCTCTAGAAAGGGATTCCTTTGGATTAACCAGTTGCCAACATATCCAAGGATGAGGACCACTTTTCAACATATCAAAAAATTCTCAGGCTTCTTTCCCACGTTAAAAGTTGTACATTTCTCTATTTGACCAGCAGACAAGTGGCATGGCATATGCATGATTCCTAGACTCCTTCCAATCAAATTCTGGGTCCACATCCCACAGAATAAACATCCATAGTTCATGGTTTGTTTTGTTTTGTTTTTTGCTTATGAAGCAGTACTTTATTTTTTAAATGAATCTTATTGTACACTCCCTCCCCTGGCAATCACCACACTGTTGTCCATGTCCATGAATCCTTTATCCTCAATCCCTCCACCCCCTAACCTCCGCCCCACCACCTGCCCCAGCTCGCATCCCACTCTCCATCTATGAGTATGTCCCCATTTTCCTTGTTAGTTTAGTATTTTCATTAGATTCCAAATATGGATTCAATCATACAGTATTCGTCTTTCTCTGACTGGCTTATTTCACTTGGCATAATGTTCTCCAGGTCCATCTATGCTGCCACAAAGGGCACTTTTTAAAATCTTTGGTAATATCTTTTTCAGGTGAAAAATCCCTGAGAATTCTATCATTAACCTGCTCATATGTTAGTTCATGAGATTGTTTTCCTTTATGAAAACTAGGTGAATTCCTGTCTCACAGGTAACAGTATAAAGATTATCTCTGCTGGGGCAGAGCTATAGCTATATGGGTCTAGAGGTCTAGAGCACTCACTTGCCTCCAGAAAGACATACACATTATGTGTCTGGCATCATTTACCTCTCTCCTGTCTTCCTTATTTTAGTTTAGCCATGTTGAGCTTCTTTTTATTCTTCATTGCACCAAACTCATTCTGATTTTAGGGTCTTTTAAGAATACAAGTATATTGACATACAACTTATATGTCATACAAATTACCCCTTTAAAGCACTCAATTCAATGGTTTCAGAATATTCACAGTTGGGCAACCATCACTACCATCTATGTTGAGAACATTTCATCACCTCAAAAAGAAGCCCCATACCCATCAGCAGACACTCTCCATCCCCCTCCCCACCCCCTGCTCAGCTCCCCGCCCTACTCAACTACTGCTCTACTTGGCTTCTTGATTTTTTCTGAGGATCTTTTTACTAGTAGAATCCTCTGCCTAGAACACTTTCTCCAAAAATCTTCCATTCATTTAGGTTATCTGCTTAATGTCTTTATCTAACCACATAAGCCCCTTGACCATCCTACCTAAAAAGGACTCCTCCCCAATCACCTCCACTCTCTTATCCTACATTATCTTTTTATAGCACTCATCATTACCTAATGTGTTTTTAATTTACTTCCCCCACCAGAATGGAAGCACCAAGAGAACAGTTAGATATTTTTCTTCATATATCCAATATTCGGACCCAGGCATGGTATTTAGTAGACACATACATATTTTCTGAACTGACTGACTAAATAAATGTAAAATTTCTGAAAAATAAGGAAAATTGTGGAGATAGGAATGTGCTAAAAAATAAAGAAGGGGAAAAAAGGTGAGCTGTGAGTGTTCCTGAGAAATACTTTATTATTTTATACTTCCATTAGCACTAATTTAATGTGTCTGCATGCAATTAGTGCAAAATACTGCAACTATGCAGCAGTGAGAAGTTACTGTGTAATTAAAATCAATATTCTGATAATATATGAATTTAATATATTTACTGCCTTTCGAAAATATGTCAAGAGAGAAATCTAGTATTAAGCAGCAAAAATAATTTCCTGTTGAAAAAAAGAAATTTTATCATATCTATATTGTATCAACAACCTAATTTGAGTTAAATAAAATAAAATTTTTAACTTATTTTCATATTTGAGCATTCCTTTTTTTTTGAATTATAAATGTATGGTCACAATTTTTATACAACTACAAGATTTAAAATAAAAACAAATCATGCAGAATGACTACTATACTCTCATAATTTACGAATGCAGAAATTGCTATCATTCAGTTTAATGACTATTGAAGGCCACAGTGTAGCGGCAAAGCTGAGACCAGCAACCAAGTCACCTGGTTGGTAGTGTTGTCTTTCCTTGGACTGCTCCCAAGTCAGTGACAGAGAGTGGCAGGGGTACTAAGGCAGACCCATTCTTTAGAAATGTGAAACACTCTGACAGATAATTCAGGCTCAATGGTTCTCCATTAGCTTGTGAAAACTGTCTTAGAGCTACACTAAATCTAAGAATTTGCAGACCCGACCTTGCTTCCTTTCCTACTCCTGCACTGGGGTCAAACCTACATCATGACTGCCCGCTCCCCAGGTTCCTCACAGAGGTTTTCTTCAGCAGGCCCCTGGCACATCGAACTCAGTCTTGGACTCTAACTCTTCTTGGAGGACCTGAACTAACTTATCATCTGTAAGTTAAAAATTCAATTTTTATATCGTTATGAAATGACTTATTTTTATAATTAATTATTAACTTTTTCTGAATTTAAATTTAGGTAATCTTCCTTTGTTTTAAATATTTTAAGTGTATTACATGCAAAAGTCTTTCCTATTATCATTTTACTGCTGGGACAGCATAGATATCGAAGTCTGAATGACTAATCTTTCTTTCAAGACTCAGTATAAATTAAAAGCACAAATTTTTGGTTTGTTAAAACATTTTTAAATTAGTATTTGAATACAAAGCAGATTACTCTCCTGATGATTACTGATTTAAAAACACTCCAGGGATGAACGTTATGACCACCTAATCAAGGCACATCAATCTCGGGACATGCCTTGATAGCTTCTAAAATCAACTATATACTGTAATGCTCTTTTATTGTTCCATCACTAGACTAACAAAGCTTAGCTAAAGAAATAAGGAACTGTTGTCATTACTAAAATCACCTCATGCTTTTCTAAATCTGTAAATTTTGTTAACTATAAAACTCAAATAATTCCTAACCTAAGTAGGAAAATATAATGAATAATTTTTCAAATACAACTCAGATGAACAGCTCAAATTGCTTCATGAACTCTCTATTCAAGTAAATCTTCAAATAGTCTAGTTAAAAGCAAAACAGTTTTGTAGAGTGTCTGAAATGGCAGAGAAGAGAAAGTCTATCAGTGAAAAATTTTACAATTAGTACTATTAGAAACAAATCGTGCTGCAAAGAGAGAAAACTATAAGTTTTATAATCAAAGAATAAAATAAAATAAAATGCAAAGAATTTTAAAAATCTTAAATTTAGGAAAATTCTTAGAAATTAAATAGATACTCATCTTCATATTTCTTTATTTAAATCATCATTTCAAAAATTTTTTAAAAACCTTAAAAATAAATCCTTGCAACAAAAAACCATCAGGAAAAACAATAAACTTGACCAGGTGTGATATGACCTCGGTGTCTTGAATATTTTTAAAAAATACTGTCTAGAAATATATATTCTGACTTATTTGACTCCAAGGACACATAACACTAAAACTCTTCAGTTTACTGTATCTCATGTGAATGCAAAGGGTTAGTAAAAATACTAATTGGCCAAAAGTGATATAAGATAGCTACAAATAAATTGATAACAAATAATGTCAATAAAAGAAATGATTACAAGTTAGGGTAATATTATCACATGGAATTTTTCAAAGAAAATTTCAATGAAAACAAATGAAGTACCATTAACTTGGTCATAGTGGGTCTCGGTCCTCCTATAAACGAAGGTTCATTCTGCTCCTCTACACCTGGGGCCTCATTTACATTTGGATGTGGCTCATCGGAGGTGCTGGGCAACTCTGGTAATTGGAAAAAGTGGATCCCACACTGAGAAGCTGCTGTTTTTACTCCTGGCACTTCCTGAATTCTCTGGTACCAAGCAGCCAGCAGTGGAAATTCTACCAGTTTTTCAGAGAGTTTCTTGCAGATAATTAACTAGGCAGGAAAAGAACAAAGCACATTATTATATTTTTTTGTTTATGATAGCTATATTGAAGTAATGTCACACATCATAAAATTTACATATATTTACTATAGTTTAGACAATGAATTTTAGTACATTTGTACAGTTGTACAACTACCACCATCATCTAGAACGAGAACACTTGAGTCACACAACAAAGTTCCCGGTGACCACTTAAAGTAAGTCTCTGCTCCCTCAGTGAGGGGCTGGTAACCACTATTTTACTTACCATGTGCAAATGTGTCTCTGGAATTTCATGTAAATGAAATCATAAAGTGTGTCTTTTTTTTTTATTTAGCATTATGTTCCTGAGATTCATCAAGTAGTTGCATTTATCAATAGTTTGTTTCTTTTCATTATGATACAGCACATAAAGGCTTTTATTTATTCAAATTAGAATGATTTGAAACCATTACTCCTGATGTAAATTAATATCTTTTTATTTTCTCTTGCTCAGATGCTTTCTCCCTAGCACCACCACCAAACTTTCATTTCCTTAAAAATTAGAATATATACTTGCTTCTTTGTGAGGCACTGAATGTTGTTTCCATAGAAACAGTTACACTGTCACAAATTATGATTAATGGTTGTGAATAGATAAGTAAAAAGGTCAAGTTACAGAAAATTTTTACAAATACATCCAGCAATAATTAGTACCAAAGCAGGAGTCAGAATGCACAGAAAATAAATTTTAAAAATTCCCATGTGTACATATCCTTATTCTATTTTAACTGGGCTTTAAGTTTAAGTAAGCACGCACATAATGGCAGGGTATGTTCAACTCTTTGCAGACAGCGATGTTTAAAAAATACTGCCTTCCAAAAAATAACAAGCTTTTTAGTGAATGAACAATTATCAAGGAACCATTTATTACCTTCAAAGAATAATCATGAATTTTTCCAACTGCTTTTAATGAGTCATTAGGATACTGTGAAATCCACTTTGATTTTTTTTAAATGAAATAACATATCAGAAACCAGATGGTGCCCACTTTCACTATTTCTATTCAAGGTATTATTGGAAGTCCTGGCCCAAGGGATTAAAATACTCCTTATTTGCAGATGCTATGATACCATATATAGAAAACCATAAAGACTCTGCCAGAAAACTATTGCAACTAATAAGTGACTTCAGAGAGTTGCAGAATACAGAATCAATGTACAGAAATCTGTTGCTTTTTTTACACCAATAATAAAAGATTGGAAAAAGAAATTAAGATGATAATCCCATTTACATTTATAACAAAAAGTATAAAATAGGAATAAATTTAACCAAAGTGGTAAAACACCTGTACTTTGAAAACTATAAGACATTAAAGAAAGAAACTGAACAAGATACAAATAACGAAAGGGAATAACTTGCTCATGTATTGGAAGGATTGTGTTGTTAAAAATGTCATCACTATCTAAAATAATATACAGATTCAATGCTATCTCTATTAAAATACCAATGACAATCTTCTCAAAATTAGAACATCCGATCTTAAAATTTACATGGAATCACCAAAGACTCCTAATAGCCAGACAAATCCTAAGAATAAAATGGGAGGTATTATGCTCCTTGATAAAACTACAGTACAAAACTATATTTTATGCAATAATCAAAACAGTATGGTATTGGCATTAAAACAGATATATAGATAAATGGTATAGAATAGAGACCCAGAAATAGATCTTCACTTATATGGTCAATCAATCTAGGACAAAGGAGGCAAGGATATACAATGTGATACAGACAGTCTCTTTTATAAATGGTGTTGGCAAAACTAGACAGATACATGCAAAAAAATGAAATTGGATCACTCTCTTACACCACATAAAAATAAATTTAAAATGGGTTAAAGACTTAAATGTTAGACCTAAAACCATAAAACTTCTAGAAGAAAATGCAGGCAATAAAATCTTTGACATTACTCTTACCAACATATTTTTAGATATATCTATCTCCTCAGGCAAGTGAAACAAAAGAAAAAATAAACAAGTGGTATCATATCAAACTAAAAAATAATTGCACAGTGAAGGAAACCATCAAGAATATGATAAATAACCCTACTAAATGGGAGAAGATATTCACAAATGATATATTGATATAGGGCCAATATCCAAAATGCAACACCAAAAAAAATAAATAAATAAAAAACCTACGAACAATCCAATTAAAAAATAGACATAGAATGTCAACAGACATTTCTCTTAAGAAGACACACAGGTGGCCAAGAGACATATGAAAAAATGCTCAGCATCACTAACTGTCAGAGAAATGCAAATTAAAACCACAATGAAATATAACTTCCCACTTGTTAGAATGGCTATTATTAATAAATCAACAAATAAGTGCTGGTGAGGATGTGGAGAAAAGGGGTTCCTTGTACACTGTTGGTGAAATTGTAAATTAGTGTAGCTACTATGGAAAGCTGGTTAAAGATCCCTCAAAAATTAAAAATAGAGTTGCCATTTGACCAACCAATTTCTCTCTGGGTATTTATCTGAAGACAACAAAAACACTAACTCAAAAGATGTATGCACCCCTGTGTTCATTGCAGCATTACTAGTAATAGCCAATATATGAAAGCAAACTAAGTGCCCACCATTAGATAAACAGATGAATGGATAAAGAAAGTGGTACAATGGAATATTATGCAGTAATTAAAAAGAATGAAATCTTGCCATTTGCAGAAACATGGATGAACCTAGAGGGCATTATGCTGTGTGAAGTCAGACAGAGAATGACAAATACCATATTATCTCACCTATATGTGGAGTCTAATAAAAACTATTAAATAAGTAAACAAAACAAAACAGAAACAGACCCATGGATACAGAGAACAAGATGATGGTTGTCAAAGGGAAGGGGATGGAAGGATGTAATAAAAACATATCAAATAAAATAGAAAATATGAAAGTGCACAGAATGTAGTAATGTGAATTATATTGTAAATATATTTATATAAAGTATAACATAAAGATGCATATTTGTATGCATATGTTCAATCACATTGGAAAATATATTATTTATTATGGAAGTAAAATTTGAAGAACACTGTCTGAATGCTGCTCTAGAAGCTAGAAAGTTTATAAATGTCATCAAAATTTTTAATTGCCTGGAAATAAATTATGTGCTAAGGGAACTGAGCTTAAGCCATGATGCATTAATCAAATAAAAAATGTTCTTATTTCCTCACCTTTCCTTAACTCTCCTTGATAGTGATTTATTCTTATTTGTTAGATCTATATGGTACCTCTCCTTCTTTCTGAAAATAAGTTGTGTTACATAACAGTAATCCATGTGTAAAAGACACTGAGGAGTTTCACGCTGCGGGACAGACCACCCACCCCATGTAACCAGCATGCCAGGCTGCTCTACAATATCCAGACAGCTCAGGAGGCACTGAACCACATTCCTTACACTCAAGAAGATATATTCAAGGAAGTGGCTAATGAAAAATATGTGAAGTAAAAATGAAATTTGTTCTTAAAAAGATATTTTCAAAAATCTACCTGAGTGGTAAGATCAAAGCCATTATAAATATCAGAGTTATTTTGAGAAATGCTCCCTGTATTCCCACTTTGCTGACTGTTTTTTATCATAAATGGGTGTTGTACCTTATCAAAAGCTTTTTCTGCATCTATTGATATGATCATGTGATTTTTGTCTTTGCTTTTGTTTATGTGATGTATTACATTTATTGATTTGTGAATATTGAACCATCCTTGTATCCCTGGGATGAATCCCACTTGATCATGGTGTATGATCTTTTTGATATATTGTTGGATGCGATTTGCCAATATTTTGTTGAGGATTTTAGCATCTATGTTCATCAGCGATATTGGCCTGAAGTTTTCTTTCTTTGTTGTGTCTCTATCTGGTTTTGGAATTACACAATGGAATTCTATGCTGCAGAGAGAAAGAAGGAGCTGCTACCTTTTGCAACAACATGGATGGAACTGGAAAGCATTATGTTGAGTGAAATAGGCCAGGTGCTGAAAGACAAATACCATATGATCTCACCTTTAACGGGAAGCTAAACAACAAAACAAACAAGCAAGCAGGAAAAAAAACAAAGACACTGAAATAGAGAACAAGGGGATAGTGACCAGAGGGGAGGGGGAAGGGAAGTTAAGGGGAAAAAGGGGGAGGGATTTGGAGGAACAAATAGGAAGGACACAGGGACGAGAACTAAGGGGGGTGGAAATGGGAGGGAGGTGGGGAGCAAGGGGCGAGGGAGGCTGGGTTGGGAAAAATAGACAAAAAACTGTACTTGAAAAATAACTAAATAAAATTAATTATAAAAAGAAAAATATCAGAGTTATTTAAGGACAAGAAAACAAGAGAACTTATTCTTAAAAGTAGCAAAAATTATGGTACCAAGAGTAGAAAATGAAATCCTAGTAGCTTTAAAATAGGGGCAGAAAAACTTGTCTGAATAACAAGAAAAGCAAGATGTTACAGCTATCCAAAATATCTCCCTCTGCATTGCTTTCCTGCATTACTTTCCAATCACTTATTATGTAAAATATTTTGTACTTATTTTATATAATTTTCTTAGGTCTATTCTTTCACCTATGTCATAGGTGAGCAGTGTGACAAGCAGGGTAAAAAACTGTAAACAACCTAAGTAGAAATATAATCACAGCTTTTTTTTACTTACAGATTACAAATGATGGGTTAAAACTGAAAACTCTTAAGGACCGAATGCATAGAGGAGAATATGGGAAATATAAATTAACCACTAAAAAATGACATCCACGCTTTGTGCAATATGTCAGCCAATAGGGAGATTCCCATCTCTCCTGAATTTTATATCAGTGGGGATACTTAAACAGATATTTAATATTTTGCTAAAAAATCTATTTCTGTAAGATTTTGCTTTTGCAATAACTAGGTGTTGTACTTTAAAAAACTGAATTCAAAGCATTAGAAGTTAAAATGTAGAAATTAAATTGTAAGTGTTCAAATTACAAAAAGATTTCATAAAATGGCAACTTCTCTGCATTCCAGGAGAATAATCTTTTAAGTAGCTCTGTCAAAGTATACTGAAAACTTCGCAGAAGAGAGGGTTTGGTCAGGCACCTTCCACAGAGAAGTGCTGGGCCAATTAGGGGATAACACTGCAAAGGCCCATCCTCTAAAGAGGAAGAGGAGCTCAGAGCAGGGTTAGACACAGCACCTCAGCCATTCTACCTGCTATTGCTCATCTTTATTATGTTGAGTAAAATTGGGTATTCCCTATAACTCTTTGAACATTGACCTCTAGCATTCCAAACCTTGACTTAGCAAAACTGACTGCTCTTTTATATCATTGGCCTTATTCCTGTGATGAAATATCCTGACTTACGGTTCAGCTCTATGTTTCTGACCCAAACCTGGTAACCTGACCTTGATTCCTGATCCAGAACTTGATCCTAATCATCGGGACTACACTCCATCACCTCCTGTGTGTGAAGACAAGCATGAAGTCTCAGCATCGTAGCCACTGTCTGAACCATAATGACTGCTTCATAACCCAAGATGACTTAAAGGAGGAAAATAAATATAACAAAGATAACATCAAGGCTTTGGCAAAGAAAGATCAATTCCTGGAAGAAAAGGTACAGATCCAGGAAAAATACAAGCAAACAAAAGAAAATATTTTGAGAATTAGTTTACATATAAATGTCGACAGAAGAATTTAATCATAGAATACATGTAATTGAGAAGGCCAATTGTACAAGTTTTCCTCTATTTGAAATGGAATGAAAACAAGTTTGTCTTTGTAGTAGGAGGTAGATTTTCTCAGCTGAAGTCAGTAAATGTCCTGCCTGATTGGAGAGGAGGAAAAACCCTCTCAATTAGGAACATTTCAACCTCAATTGACCCTAATCAGGTGAATAGTAGTTAAAGTAAGCTAAAATCAAATGCAAACTAGTTAAAGATGGATGCTGAATAATGATCTAAAATTACCTTCATGCAGGTGCATCCACCTTTTTACGTTTTATGGGTGTTTGAAAGCAAATACTCATCTTCTCTATCACCTTGTTTTATTTCCTTTGTATCAATTACATCATTTAAGTATGGTATATATTATTCATGTACATGTTCATTCTGTCTTCTCCTACTAGAATACGAACTCCATGAGGGCTGGACTTAATTCGTCTTGTTCATCTCTGTATTCCTAGTGCCTCCAGCAGTGCCTGGCATATGTAGTAGCTTTCAGTACATTTCTCAAATGAATGAATGAGTGAATGGGTGTGCCACTTTGGCCCCGTTTTCATGAAATTAGAAACAAATATAGTTATTCAAGATGACCAACAATAGTATTTATGACACATATCAGTGACTTCTCTAATGACTGAATTTGGTAAGAGGGAACACGTCAATCATAAGAGAATCCAGAAATCATCTGACCAGAAACAAAAACAGGAATTTTTTTTCCTCACCCTGCTCTACAGAAAATACTAATACATATGACACCTAAAACACTAATTAACATCTAAACATTCCTGAATCTCTCTTTTACATCTGAAGTTATTTTGGTTTCCGATCTTGTTGTGTTTCCATTTTGAAGAAAAGAGAAATGTTCTTTAAGGAAACATCAATGGATTAATACTATCTAACTCAGTGAAGCTCTGGCCTCCAAATACATAGATTTTTCTTAGAAGCCTTTTCTCATCTGTCAGTAGAGATACCTGAAATCTGGTATCTGATCTCTTAATAGAAGAAAAGGTGAAATACTTCAAAGCAGGAAAAATGAAGCTCTTAAAAACCAGCTGGAAAGCTGCAGACAGTTATAGATCCCCATGTTTGCTCTAATGTCATTTTTCACCTTGTTTTTCCTGGCATACGGGGAGGGGGTGAAAAATGGGGGAGTATATATATGTATCTACCACCCTACCAGGAAAGAAAGAAAACTTTCCATGTAGTCTTATGAACAACAGAGAGGCATACAAATAAGAATAAAATATTTCTAATTTGGTAATACTCAACATAATCAAATTAGTATGTTAAGTGACTACAAAATTATAAAATATAGCTGACAAGATTTTATAGTCCTTTAACAGTGGACTCTCTAATATTAGAAGGTAATCACAACAGCAATTTGAAATTATTATAACATTTTAGCAAATGAGAATTAAAAGTCACAATAATTACTAACATTTATTGACAGCTTACTATGTGCCAAACACTACTGTCCACAATTCACACAAGTTATCATTAATTCCTCACGTTGAATGTCGTTATCTCTATTTTATAGATAAGAAAATGGAGACAGATATTAATAATTTGCCCAGGAGCATAATGATAGTAAGAAGTGGAACTGGGATTTAAACCTCAGCAAGTTTATACACTGAAACTTACAGCGATATATCCACTCCAGATATGCCTTACCAAAAAGTGATGTATGCAGGGCAAGAGCACGATATCTGTCAGAGTGAAGTACAGGCCTTCTGCGAACACATGCTCCAGAGGTGGCAGGTCGGAGGCCTTCGCTTTTCTGATGTAAGAAGGCTCTCTGCTGGGAGCGGCTGGTTCTTCCTGCACTGTGAGCTTTGAGAGTGCCACGTGCAGTTCCAGGCTCCTGGATGAAGAATCCAAATCTTCGGATGTTTCCTGTCCATGGACCCTGCTCTTTATTTTTTCCTGAGCAAGGGAAGGCCCCACTCTGGTAGCCTTCTGTTGCTTCAGCTTCTGCCGGCGGAGTTTGTCATCGTTATGCACTCGAACAGGCTCGCTAAGCTTTTTCTCTAGCTGTAGTATTTCTGCAGGGATGGTTGGCTGCTGGTCAAAAGATTCTTTGAGAAAGTTCTCAATAGCTAAAGGGATGGTGATTTCACATAGCCTGGTCCACTGACTAACCTACAAAACAGAACAAGAAATGAAATCATTCTTGACTTTCAATATAGCTTGAAGAGAGATAACTTTCTATTGGGAGAATTTGTCTTGAGCTAAACCATCCCTGGGCTAGGCTTTTATGGTATTTCAAGACACATTTACAATGCTTCAGAAGTGATAACATCAAATCATGGAGGTGTAGCATTCCTGTATCTGGAATGCATGCTATCCACCTGTGTCTTCTTACTGAATAAAATCTTACTTCCCAAAGCCTTTAAAGTACATGCCCCCCACCCCCAAATAAGATAGGTTTCCAAAGCATTGACACTTAAGTTCCTGTTTGTATGTAAAAGTTCCCTTTAAAAACTTCAATGTAATTAAAATAAAATATAACAAACAAGTCATTCTCTAAAATATCTCCAAACCTCATAAATTAAAACTCAAATTCTTATTTTTCAATACTGCACTGAAATATTGGCCTACATGATGGGCTACTTTATATTTCATTGGTTACTATAGGTTTTTTTTTAAGGAAATGAAGTCCTAGTTTCCAGCAGAAAGTTAAAATGTTTAAGTGAATGTGTTATTGCTCTATGACTCTAAATAACAGAAAAGACACATTGTACTTACTTCAGCACAGGCTTTCAAGCAAGTCTTTTTAAAACCCAGCAGTTCCAAAATTTCCTTCTTTGAGAGGTCTGCTTCGCATGATTTCTGAATTATGTGTCTCAGCACAACAGCAAGTCCTGCTCTACAGAAGTTGTCTGGTGTCTCCACAACTGCAGGTAAACGGCAATTCTGGACTATCGGTGGGAGTTCTCTTCTTGAAATGATCCGTATTTCAACATCTTGGGACAACACGCTAAGTAGCTTAACATCCGTACTTTCTCTGGTGAGAACTAAGCAAACTTTAAAGATTTTGCAGTCGCAGTATGATAATAAAAATAAAGTTACAGATGTATGAAGTGGAAAAACGCATCCTTCTACTTGGTGAGAAAAGTCTAGGTATAGATATTCTTCCGTAAGACTTTTCTTAATGCCCTTCATTTTCTTCTTTCATTGGATTACCTGAAGCATAAATTGAAGTGGTTATACATCTTAGACTATAAGAATTTAGAAGATAAAAGATGAATATTTTAAAAGAATGCTCTACAAATCAGCAGGGATTTGTAATAGGTAAGATTCGACATGAATTTGTTTGTAGACTGAACAGCTTCCAGGAGAAAGATCTGCGCTCAGTGCCATTAATGAGTCTTAGGGGTGATTTTATATCCATGCCTTTAAAATTAGCAACTCAGTGTGGGACTGCTGGGGCAGAGGGGTATAAGGGGACTAAAGAGTAGTGAAAAAATGCAATAAAGATTAAATAAAAATAAAATGAGCAACTGAGGTACTCTGCAGTAGAGTCCTCCCCATCAAGTACTTTGAGGTGTCATTACAGGAGAGAGCAAGTAAGAAATAAGAAACCGCCAAGAAGACTGAGCAGTGTCTTGGGCTAGTAGCCCCGAGAAGTTTTGACAGAGCTGGTCCTCTCACATTGTTTCTGACTTATAACCCTGCACCGTAATCATCGGGAGTGATATTTACTCCCTCATGAGAATGGATTCTCCTAAGGTAAGTGGGTTTTGATATGTGATCAGCTTATTGCTTGCTGAAAAACAAGAGAAAAGGAATTGAAATTTCCCCATAACTTGATATTGATAACTGAGATCTCTCAAAGCTAACATATACAAAGTCAAGTTCCTTATTCTCTCCCACCCTTACATATCTGCTCCTCACGTATCTTTCCTATCTCAGTTAGTAGAACACCATTCTTATAGCTGCTCAGGCCAAACACCTGGAGAGCCATTGTTAATTATAGATCTAGAATCTGACTTCCAAACATCCTCATTGCTTCCGCTGTGGTCCAAAGCACCATCATCTCTTCAGATCACAGCACTCGCCTCCTGACATTGCTTCCCAGCCTACATCCCTCCAGTCAAGTCTCAGCGTGACCACCAAAGTGATCCTGTCAAAACTGAAGAGTATGTCACTACTCTGCTCAGACCCTCTAATGTCTTCCCATCCTACTCAGAAAAAGGCAAAGTTCTGACAAAGACCTACGACGATTCTTTGATCAAATCCTCTTTTTCTGTCTCTGGGTTCATTTCAGCTCTCATACTCCTCCAGCCAAAGTGCCTTGTCATTCCCCTAAGATAGTAGGGACATTCCCCCTCAGGGCCTTTGCACTTGATGTTTCCAGGGCCTGGAACATTCCCTCATCTCCTTCAGGCACTTAGTGAAATGTCAACTCTGAGATCTTCTGGGCTATTATATTTAAATCTTCTTTATAGCACTCATCACTGTTGTAATATGCTATGTACTTATGTTGTCTAACCAAACTAAAATGTTCCACGACCAGAAATTTCGTTTTGCTCACTACTATGCCAAAACAGTCTCTGCTATATATAGAAATCAAGAAGTATTTGTTGAATGAATGCATAAATGAATGTAAACACTTGTTATTTTAAAGATGCAAACATACACAATTTTGAGGTCAAATTATTGATAATATTTTCAAGTTAGAGTCCTTAAGACCTTTGTCAATTATAACTTCTTGTTTGATTTTTACATTTACAGGGTCTAAAATTCCCTGTGTTCTTATCCATAAATCACAACTCAGAAATTGGCACTAGATGGCACTCTTTAAAAACATTCACCATGGAAACATGTAGTAATAGAAGATGGTATTATTAGAAGAAAAACTATTTTAAAAGCCCTTAAAAATACATATGGAACTCTTTCTTTTAAGTACATTTGAAATATTAGTGGACCCTAAATTTTAAGCAAACTTGAACATAATAAATTTCCTTTAATACTCTAAATTCCTTAGTTTTTTTTTTAATCAAAATCAAATAGTCAAATACTCTTTAAGTTTTTTGGTCCTCAACTTTTCTATTAAAGAGATAATGATCTATTGTAACAAAGGTGTATAGTTAGTAAGATACAATCTTAGAAAACCTCTTGATAATGTAAATTATCATTACCATTTTATATTTCGTTTATTCAAACCCAGCAGACGTGCACCATGGTTTGTTGCTCCTTTGAAAGATTACCGATCTGAATTCTTTATTTTTCTGTAATCATCATCACCATGAATGTATACAAATGTATTAAGTGAATGGAACATTTTTTTTGCCTGTTGTAGTCTAAAAAAATAAAAGACTATCTACAGGAAAATTATTTCACGTGATTTAAAAGCAACTTTTTAACCCATGAAAACCATTTTTCCTGGAGCTTAAGTGCCTTTTTTAAACCTAGAACTGACTTAAAATTATATATATATATATATATATATAAATAATTTGTATATATAATTTATATATGTATTATAAATTATATATAATACATATATATAAATTATATATAATACATATATATGCCCACAGGCAAAATAAACCAACATTTTCTAGGAAATTGACAGTCTCTGTGAGGCATTTGCCCCTGTAAATTTGTTGCTGACTGATTTACTAATCCTCGTAACTCCTTCTTCTGACAGTGGGATGCTGTAGAAGATCCAGAAGTACCTCAAGGACCAGATTTAAAACATGATCAACTTCATTTGCCCAGCAGTGTAGGAAACAGTAATTGTGAGACTGGCCCTAACATTTAAAAGAAAAACAAACACACCTGAAAACAATATCATGTTGTGTTAAAGCTATTGATTTAGAAAATGTAGAAATATTTTTTAAAGTTAAGGTGCATGTCTATTTGTCACATTCTAAGGCACATAAGAGCCTTGAGAATAGGCTTTTATATATTATATAAACTATTCTCTCCAGCAGCACTTATTAGTGCTAAATGTCAATGAGATAGAGTAGCAATAACCTGCCCATAAGGATAACTAAAAATTAATGAGATGTCTGGGAAAAAATGCAAAGTACTGTTGATTCTTAACAAAAAAAAATTTTTTCCAAGATAGATGTTGATGGTTTTTTTCCCTAAGAGATTTAAAATGTTACTTAATGATCTTGGAGTTAAAAAAAATAAATAAAACTACTCTCCCTGGGCAATTTTTCCTCACAAAGTACAGATGTAATTTCTAAAGTAAATGTTAAGTATTAACAAGCTTATACAAATTTGATATGTTTTTGGTTTGCAGTTTATCTTTAATGTTTCAACAGAGCAGAACACAGTTTTTGCTTCAAGTTTTCAAATGCAATAGGCAAAGAAACCCCCATTTTTCTTCTCCATTTCTATATAGAGAATTCCTTTGTTCATTAATGTATGTCATGAGCTTTAAAGAGGTAGGTCCTGCAGAATCATCTCTGGGGTCTCCAGAGATTCTGGGACACAGCCCCTGTTCCTCTGTATTACATTCCTGACAGCACAGAAGGAGTGTCACTTGCTCTTTTTCAGCTTTGATGTGTGCCACCCAGAAACAAAGTGAGACAGCAGCACACAAAACCCACACCTCAGGAGCCAACGCAGCTGACGGGGTTTGAACCCCTTCCCTGGGCATGTCGGTTTGCTTGGGAACGTTGCAAAGGGGGTAGAGAGGTAAGAAGAAAATATTTAAGCTCTGGTCTCATTACTTGAATATCTTCAAAGATTGTTTAAACAACCAAAGGAGTCAACAGTTTTAATATTTTAGCCATTTCAATGTATTTTTGCATTCTCATTCTAATTAATATATCTAGATGTTGATAAATTGAAGCATTTCTCATATAAAAAGGGAAATGCATTTTATAGATGTTTTCTTATCTAAAATACACATGCAAATACACACACAGAGGGAGAAAAATGCAGTAAACATATTCAAAATAAGCATATCTCTCCAGAAGCTGAAAACTAAGTTGGAAAGTTTTGTGCTCAAAATTCAAGTCTTGATCTATGGCAACTAAATATAACGTCTTTATTTGTTCTAAAATAAGAAAATATCACCATGCCTGGAATTCGATAGGATCTTAATATGTTAAGTGAACAAATAATAAAATCCTAAATAATATTATGTACATTTTATTTTCCACCACCATGTGCTAAGGACAGAGAACTTTCAGACATTACTTTTAATCTTCACAATCCTTAATATTATTTCGCAATCCTTAAAAGTACATTTTACTTCCAGTACATGAATGAGAACCACACATAAATCCCCCCCACCCCACAAATCAAGGGAATCTATAAAGGGATCTTATTTGAAAGCATTCAGGAATTGTTACTTTTCTAATATAAATAACACTACTTTATAAATTAGTAATTTCATAAATCGAAGCATGTTGGAATTTGATTGCAACAATTTCAGGTTCTTACAAATAGTGTCCAACAAGAGAGTGTTTTATCTCCCTGTATAATCTCTATGTGGAACATAGTACATGGAAAACTGGGCTGGACTCAAAGGAAGGAGTGACAACTGGTGGAATAGCAATAACTTAAGGCACAAAACAATAACATGTCACTGACAGAAATTAGCAATGATTTGAACCAACTTTAAAATATATATATTTTATTTATTTATTTTTAGAAAGAGAGGGAGAAAGAGAGGGAAACATGATTGGCTGCCTCTTACACTCCTCCAATTGGGGGCCTGGCCTGCAACCCAGGCATGTGCCCTGACTAGGAATCAAACTGGCAACCTCTTGGTTCGCAGGCCAGCACTCTATCTACTAAATCCCACCAGTGAGGGCTGAACCGATTTCTGGCGAACATGAAAGTAGTGCCAAAGCAGCAGGACTGCATTTAAACATTAAGAAGACAAACACCATTACTACAGAATAAATATACAACTTTAATAAAGATAACAGACCGTAATTGTTAAAGATTTTGCTTATCTTGGTTCAATCAATAATTCAAATGAAAACTGCAGCCAAGAAATCAAGAGAATGCTGAGATGGGAAGGGCAACTATAGAAGAATTGGGGAAAGATCTGCAAGAGCAAAGATGTGTCATTAGAGACCAAGGTTAATATCATCCACACCCTCTTATTCCCAGTTACTATATATGGATATGAAAGTTGGACAGTGAAGAAGGCTAAGGGAAAAAAATGCATCCACTTGAAATATGGCATGGAGGGAAAGCTCTAAGGATATCCTGGACCACCAGGAAGATAAATAAGTGGATCCTAGAGCAAATTAACCCTGAAACACAGCTACAGGCAAAAATGACAAAACTGAAGCTGTCCTACTTCAGGCACATCATAAGGTAGGATTCGTTAGAAAAGACACTAATGATGGTGAAAAAGAGAAGGTGGCAGGAAAAGAAGAAGATCAAATATGAGATGGATGAATTCCATAAAAGAAACCATAGGTATGAGTCTTTAGCTGAGCAGAGCTATTGAGGACAGGACACTGGGGACATCACTCATTCATAGGGCCAGCAGGAGTCGGAGCCGACTCGAAGGCTTGTTACATATGCAACAACTTTACCATCATAAAAATCATTAAAAATTATGTTATCTTAAGCAATCACTGGGGGGGAAAAAAACTCTGTTCTAAAGGCAGGGTTACTTAACCATTCTTAGCACTGGATTTGATGATATCCTCCTCAAACCACTTAAGGAGCCTTGGCTCAATGCTTCGCTCTATTCTCAATCTACATTCACTCCTTTGAGCACTGGCTTTCAAATGCCACACATGAAGAAATACATTTTATAATGCAACTTATTATAGACTGAATAAAACCGAAACAGAAGAATTATGAATATCCTACTACATGGGAGATATAGGGTATTTTTTACTCTGTGCTTCTTTTTTCCACTTTTTTTTTTTTAGTGTTTGTTAGTACTCACTAAACTGATTTTAAGACTTGTTAATGGGCCAACAACTCACAATAGCAGCCCTGTTCTCCAGTGCCAGAGGTTTAAATAGCATTTACGACTCCTATATTTCTCACTAATATCCTTTCTCCTGAACATCCAACTCCTGTATCCTACCTGACATCTCACCTTAGGCATTTTTCCAAACCTGCTCCTCTTCCTTTAGTAGTCTAATCCAGGCCTCCTCTTGGTTAAAGCACACCACCATTCACCTAGATGTCTGGGCCTGTAACTCTGATGTCTCACTCAACTCCTTTCAGTCCCCCTCATAATCTACTACTTCTACCTTTGAAATATGTGCTGAATCCAAATTGTTAGCACCTCCATTACTATCCTCTTAATATCAGTCATTATTAGCTCTTACAAAGACCAGTGCAAAAGCCATTATTAACTACTTCCTCTAGTCTCCATACAAACAGTGAGTACCCAGATAGTCAGGGTGATCCTTCAAAAGCATAAATCAGATCATGTTCCCTGCTCACAACTATCCAACCGCTCCCCAACACACTTAGACTAAAATCCAAATGTTCTACCATGGTCTGTATAGGGCCCACTGTGACCCTAGCCTTCCTTTTTTGTTGACCTCATCTCCTCCCTTCCATCCTCTTGCTCACTTATCTCCAGCTTGCAGCTCTCTGCTGTTCTCGGAAGATGCCAGGAATACTTCACTTGAGATTTTTTTGTACCTGCTGTTTTCCCTACTTAGAATGCTCTTCTTCAAGATATGCACATCATTTGCTCCTTAATTTCACTGAGGTCTCAGAATATTAACTCAGAGCAGCCTCTCCTGACAACCTGAATTCCCACCATTCCCACCATTCACTAGCCCCTTATCCTGTTCTATTTTACTACATGATATAGCACTTATTACCTCACAGGGCATATCCAATGCTTAAATTAACCGTAATAAAAACTGGGTTCAAAAAATAAATGAATGAATATGCATAAATGAGTATCAGTAATTATTCTAATGAGTACTATTGAGAACTTTAGTCTTAGCATGGCATGTACCCCATTCTTCTTAACACTGTTCTTTTTCTCCCAAAAGAATACATCTATTTTAAGAGCCATCTATGTATAAATTAAAGAACTAAGATCACCTCTGTGAGCTGAACTGGAAGAATGAATAACTAGAATTCATCCAAACATGTAAGTAAAACACAGAAGTTTTCATGTATGTTGGTTTTCAGGCAAGAGAACTAGGTATATAACCAGATTTTTTTTATGTACTGACTTAGGAAGTTGAATATTTATATACCAAAACTATAAAATAATGAATAAGAGTCTAAACTCTGGAGCTAGCCAGATTCAAATCCTAGTCTTGATATTCAGAAACAATATAAAACTTTTCTGTGCCTTAGTTTCGTCATTCATAAAATGGGGACAATAGGAACAATAATTACCATATGTGTGTTGTGAAAACAGAACAATGTTTATTATATTAATAAGCCCCTAAATATTAGCTATCATTTTTTAAAGATTTTATTTATTTATCTTTAGAGGGGAAGGGAAGGAGAGAGGGAGAGAAACATCAATGTACAGTTGCCTTTCGTGCATCCCCTGCTGGGAACTGGCCTGCAGGGAACTGGTCTGCAACCCAGGCAGGTGCCCTGACTGGGAATCAAACAGCAGTTGTCTGGTTTGCAGGCCCGAGCTCAATCCACTGAGCTACACCAGCCAGGGCCAGCTATCATTTTTATAATTTATCCCAAAACTGCTCATTCATTGACACTATTAAAATATATAATTGTTTATGGGCAAGCCCCAAGTTATGCTATTTCCAAACTTCTCAGGAAAGGTAAGAGGTTCATGCTAAATTGCAAAGGTATTGCCCCAAATATTGAAAAAAATCTTTCCTTAGGCTGAAAGCCAGGTCACAAAATGGTAGAATATAAATGTGATACCATAAGTTTGCATGTATATTAACTGCTTATATTGTACGAAATAAATGGCTCATTACAGTTTATAAGCATGAAAAAATTGCAAACTCATTTTTCTTAGATTACAACTTAAATTTAAACGCCTTTAAGTCCCTTCCTACATCAAATGCTCAATGTTGTTAGTTTGTGCTTTATACATTTCACAAAGTAACACTACTTGGATGCAAATCTCACCATATTTTATTACAGTAATATAGATTTTTTAAAAACTTGCCCCTACAGCATTAGGTAACAGCTAATTACCTTAAATATTAAAGATTAACAAAAGAAAGAAAAAAAACAGCTATTTCAGTGCTCATCATATTTTGTAATGTGGAAATGCATATAGTTAAGTCCTAGAAAACAAAATCCTACAATTAAAATTAGCTGCTTTCTTATCTGGGCAAGAAGTGAAAAAAAATGTTTAAAAGTAAAAAAAGCTTACTGTAATCTTAATCATAAAGGAAATGTGTCATCTTCTTTCTTGAGTATCGGGGAATCATTTGTTGCCAAAGATTCATAATGCTTGTAGCTAAGCCAGACTTCATAATTAATAGGGATTTTACAGCATGAAATGCTAACATGTTCAAAACATCAGTAAGCCTGAAATAAAATTACTGAGTCCCTACAACAAATAATACTTGTGTTGGTGTGATCTGAGTGGTTTAAATCTTTGCAATTCAAGTATTAACCATAACAGAATGGAGGCTCCTTTGACAACTTAAGATAAAAACAACATATACTGGAGAACTGTATGTATCCCACAGATGTTTTAGTTGACTGGCCACAGAATGTTAAATTTCAAGGTCTGCTAAATTGTTGCTGTTAGAAAAGCCAATTGGCTACTCAGTATTTATTCGTATTTCAAATCAGAGATGATACAAAAGCTACAAAGTTAAACACACTTAAAAAAAAAACACAAACTTGATTGGCCCACCACTGCTGAAATTTGAGCTTTTGTTTAAAGCAGATAGGCAATCAGAAGTGTTAAAAAAAAAAAAAAAAAGAACTGATAAAATGATTCTCAAATCTGATTTTTTTCAGTTATTTTTGGAGTGAGACCTATTAAAATGCTGCCTTCAGGTATAACTCAAACACAATTTCCGACGAGTATGCTTAAGGCAATCCTGAGTAGTGTATATTCCCCACCACGCGGTTAAAAAAACAACTCGTATAGCTTCATGGTTTATTAAACATGACAGCAAATCACTCAGTTGTATTTATAACAGACCATTTATTTTACAATATTTAAATGATCATGTTTACAGGTTTAAAATCATAACATTAGTTCTTGCCAGCTTTTGTTTTTTCCTCCTTTAAACACCTTCCATAGATAAGCTCAGAAAAAAGTAGTAGTCTACCGTCTTTATCAATAATTTAGCACAAGATATATTAAATGCTGGCATTTCCTTGACACTCAAGAACTTACGATAGGAATGGGATCGTGTCAGTGCGAATAAAAGGAAAATCCTGGCCAAGTGGCTCAGTTGGTTGGAGCTTTGGACAGAACACCAGAAGGTTGTCAGTTCATTCCGGGTCAGGGCACGTGCCTCGGTTGCAGGAGATCCCGGGTCAGAGCGCCTCCTCCAGGCAACCTATTCTGTCTCTCACATTGACGTTTCTCTCTTATGTCCAATGTTTCTTCCTCTCCCCTCCTTTCTTTCTAAAATCAATAAACAAACCCTCAGGTGAGGATTTTTCAAAAATCACCTAATCCCAAAACCAGGTAGAGAGATGGCATGGGAAGTACGTGTATTAATTAGCAAACGTTTTTGAAGTCAAAGCAACTTTCATGCAAGTTAAACGTAAACTTTCTACAGAAGTTTAAAACCAAAGTGAAAAAGAGAATAGCCCAAAATGAAGCAAGCCCTATGGAGCAATTGTTAAGCAGTAATGCTCAGAAGAGCTGGAGTGGAAAACTAAGTGTCAAAGAAAAAAAGTTAAAGCGTGATGCAAGAGGTCTGAAAATTAGCAGCAAAGGGCAAACGACCCCCGCTGACTCCTGCAACTAGAAGCTGCTCCAATACCCCCACGAGCAGAGGAAGCCCGGAGCCCTCCACCCGCACCCTTGGATGCTGTGGGCAATGAGGGCCAGAGAGAGAGATCAGGACACTAACTCATGTCCTTGACCTTCCCTCGCGTCGTCAGCCCTGTTATGCCCGGATGCAAAGAGCAAGTATGCATTGGCGGTGGGCAGGCGCTGAGTCGGCGGCCGCCCGAACGCCCTCTTTACCTGGTCGCAGAGGCGCGGCCAGGCAGGGAGGGTCGTGAACGTGTCGGCGACACGGGCCGCCTGCGCCTTCCCGCCCCGCCCCGCCCGAGCCGGGATTCCGAGGCCGCTTCTGGAGTCTCCGCCAGCAGACCACTCGCTACCCGAAAGGATGCGTGACAAACAACAGACAGCAAGTCTGGGAAAGTGCAGCGCCAGCCGTCATTCATAATCCGGCGGACCGGAAAAAGAGGTCTTCGTCACTTCCTTCCGTGTAACAACGAAAACGCCCCACCCCGACTGTGCTGCGGCAACTTCTGTTCCCCGCTCTCACAGGTTGTGGTACTGGAACCAGTTCGGAAGGGGCTACGAGAAAGGACGGAGTAGCGGGGCGGAGCGGTGAGTTGTGACGAGCGACCCCCCCTTCCTGCCGCCGCTGGGAGGCTCGAGATCTCCGCAAGGGATGAGGTGGAAGAGTAGTTCCGTCAGGGGTTTTAGTTTCCTCGCTTCTTGTGGGGAAACCTGACTTAAGGGCGGTCGCGTGTCCCAGCCTGACCGCTTTCCTTTTTCACTGAGGGCTCGGCTTCCTCCGGGGGTGTTGTGGGCGCAGGCACGCGGGCGGAGGACGCGGTCCCAAGGGCTAAATCCTGGAAACGCAGTCTCGGACCTTCCTCACGAGGTTTCGGCGACTTCTCTGTACAGCTCGCTGTCTCTCATCTTCTCTCGGGCTCCCTTTCAAGGACCTTCCCTCGTGCTAGGCCTTTGGTATGCCATGCTTTGAGAAAAAGGTAGACATTCCTTTGAGTGACCGCTGTCGCTTTTCAGGTTCTCTGTCACTTGGTTGGTTTGGAATCGGGGGCCTGCTGCCTCTTTAGACGTGTCCCTACGATAGCAATATAACCCAGGGCCAGGAACTCAGTGGAGGTATGAACAGGGCAGTATCTTTGCAACGATGCTTATTAGAAAGGGTTGTACGATCTTGCAAAGACATAAAGGCCAAAATTTTTTTTAGAGCCCTTATGAGATGGCAATCCTAATGTTTCACTACGCTTGAATAAGGTCAGTTTCCTTCCTGTCGCGTACGTGCCGATGAAAAACTTAGGACTTTTTTTTTTTTTTTTTAAGATTGGCATGTAGGGATGGGAACGAGATCTAGGGAAATGCATATATTTATATATGCCGACCAACCCTAGATCATAGATCTAAACCGAAGATCACAGAACCCCTACCTAATAAATATACTTCAACAAAAACCTAGTTCATTCAATGCACATATTTGAATGCTTGTTAAGTTCCAAGCATTAGGTACAGTATATAACCGTGGGGAAAAAAAGTCCCAGCTCTCATGGAGTTTACAGTACAGTGGAATAATGAATTTAAGCCTGATGAAGGACTGGGAAGAGAGTATTGCAGATAGCAATATTATACAAGTACCCAGTTGTGTAAAAGGTGTTTTTTTTGTTTCACTTTATTTATTTTTAGAGAGAGGGGAAGGGAGGGAAACAGGAAGAGAAACATCAATCAGTTGCCTCTTGCATGCCCCCAGCCGCAGACCTGGTTAGGAACCCAAGCATGTACCCTTACTGAGAATTGAACTGGTGACCTTTTAATTCACAGATCTGCGCTCAGTCCACTGAGCCACACCAGCCAGGGCTGATTTCATTCTTCTTAAATGAAATCATTCTTCTTAAGAAGAATTTTCTTAAGAAAGAAGCAGGGCTGATTTCATTCTTCTTAAATCACAAGTGGTTTATCCTAGAAAACATTCCATGTGCACTTGAAAAGTATGTATATTCTGATACTTTGGGGTGAAATGCTCTGAAGGTATCAGTTAAATCCATTTGATTTAGTGTGTCATTTAAGGCCACTCACTGTCTCTTTGTTGATTTTCTGTCTGGGAGACCTATCCATTGAAGTCAGTGTGGTGTTAAAATCCCTGACTATGTAATTCTGTCTCTGTCTTCCTTTATTTTTATGAAGATTTGCTTCACTTCTCTAGGTGTTCCTACGTTGGGTGTGTAAATGTGTACAAGGGTTATATCTTCTTGTTGTATTGTCCTCTTTATCATTATGTACTGTCCTTCTTTGTCTCCTACTATAGCTTTGGTTTTAAAGTCTATTTTGTCAGATATAAATAAGTATTGCTGCCCCAGCTTTTTTTCCCTTTCCATTTGCATGAAATATCTTTTTCATCCCTTTACTTTTTAGTCTGTGTGTATCTTTAGATTTGAGGTGGGTCTCTTGGAGGCAGCGTGTATGTGGGTCATGTTTTCTTATCCATTCAGGTATTGCATGTCTTTGGCCTATAGCCTTTAAGCCACTTACATTTAAGGTAATTATTGATAGATATGTATGTAGTGCCAATTTAGTGTTAGACTATTTTCCTCTGCTCTTTTTTTCTTTCTCTTCTTCTTCTTCAAGCAAGCCCTTTAAGATTTGTTGCAATACTGGTATGGTGCTAGCAAACAAATTCCTTTAGCTTTTTCTTGTCTGGGAAGCTCCTTATTTCTCCTTTGATTTTAAATGATACTCTAGCTGGGTAAAGTAGCATTGGTTGTAGGTCCTTGCTTTTTATCACCTGTTTCACACCACACCACACCTTTCTGCCCTGAATTGTTTCCTTTGAGAAATCAGATAATTGTCTAATTAGAGCTCCCTTGTAGGTAAATACCTGCTTTTCTACTGCAGCTTTTAGGATTCTCTCTTTGTCTTTAAGCCTTGTCATTTTAATTTGGATATGTCTCGGTACAGGCCTCTTCGGGCCTAACTGGCTTAGGACTGTCTGAGCTTCCTGGATTTGTGTATCTTTTCCTTCACCAGATTAGGGAAGTTCAGTTATTATTTCTTCAAATAGGTTCTTGATCCCTTGCTCATTTTCTTCTCCTTCTGGTATTCCCATGATGTGAATGATGTTATGCTTCATGATGTCCAAAATGTTTCTTAAGGTCTCCTTTTTTAAAATTCCTTTTTCCTTTTGCTGCTGTGCTTTGGGTTTTTTTTTTCTACCTTGTCTTCCAAATCAATGATTTGATCATCTACTTTATCTAACCTACTGTTTATTCCTTCCGGCCTATTATTTATTTCAGAGATTCCATTCTTTATTTCTGACTGGCCCTTTTTTATGGTTTTTATGCCTTTTTTCATGCTGTTGAGTATTCTTATAGTGACTACTCTAAACTGTCTGATAAATTGCTTGCCTCCATTTCATCTAGTTCTTCTGGAGAACCTTCTTGTTCTTTCATTTTGGGGTCTGTTTCTTTGTCTCCCCATTTTGGCTGCTGTGTATTTGTTTCTATGTGTTAGGTAGATCTGCAAAGTCTCTGGTGCATACCTGTGTTAGACACTGCCTATGACTGGCCTGGGCAGCCTTGTAGCTATAAGCAATCAACAGCGTGTAACTCCCTCTGCTGAGTCTGTGTGCAGAAAGAATCAGGCTGCCCACCAAGGCTGGCTTTTACCAACACTCAGCCCAGGGGAGGGTCAGCTAAAGTCTCAGGGATCTGCCTTACTTGTTAGATTTAATCAGTGATATAGCTTCAAGCTGTACTCATCAGCCAGGCTTAACCTCCACGTGGTGGGGCTGTTTCTTCCCTTTAGGCTGATGGCGCTTGGAGGGGAGTTGTCTGCCTGCAAAAGATGGCACCTGCATTATGGGGAATGACTTGCTGAGTCATCTGCCTAGATATGATAGTTAAAAACATGATATACAAGTGTGGGCATAAGTAGGCTTAGAGTTGTGAGTCCATGAAACACAGAGTTATAAAGCTCCTGTAATAACCATAACCTGCCTGTCTTTTTCCATACAAACAAGTATAAACTTACTTTTGCCCACTCCTGTATGTAAGATTACCAAGGAAGAAATTGGTACAAGAACTAATGAAAATGGGCAAGGACAGATACTTGGGCAATAGGAAGAACAACAGGGATGAGAAGATGAGCCAGAAAATGACTAGTCAGAAATAGAAGAGGAAAACCAGAAAAGCCGAATAGAAAAGAAATGAAAGAGGAGAAAGTTTTTGAAAATGGAAGTAAATAACACGTATTAACATGGCCAACATTTACTGAGTACCTGCAATCTGTCAGGCACTCTGCTAGACTTGTGGTAAGACCAATCTAGTGCTGACCCTCCTGGGATTTACATTCTAGTGACAATGACAAGCACTGTTTACATAATTAACAGTGTGGTAACTATTACAAATAACTACAGGATGTTTTGGGACCAGTAAGAATATGTGCAGGAAATGAGACTTGAAAAATGAATAAGAGGGGGGATGGGTCACTCAACTAAAGTGCTGAAGTAAAAAAGGTGTTGAAAGACTTGAAATAAGTTATATGGCTACCACAGAGAGAGTGGGAATAGCTTGTGGTACTGGGTATCATATAATGAGCATGTACTCTGTGCCAGGTACTGTCGTAACTGCTTTACATGTCTAGATCATTTAGGGCTTTGGAGACCTTGTTAAGAATCTTGTTCTTTAACCTTTGTACAGTGAGAAGTTTAAGGAGCATTTTAAGCAAATGAGTGATATGAGAAGATTGGGGGGGGGGACAAGAGTGGTTATAAGGAGACTGAATAAGTTATTACTGTGGGCCTTACAAGGAGGATGGTAGTTTAGTCTAGGGGTGGTAGTAATGAGGATTGAAAAAGGTGGATGAATTTTAGATGTTTGGTGATTGAATGGGTTGGAGGGTTGAAGAAGTAGGTTTCTGGCTGGAGCATGGTAGGTGTTAGCTGAGAAAGGAATATTAGAGGAAGAACTTGTTGGGAAACAAATCAAGAGCTTACGAGTAACTCTGTTAGTTATGTTGAGTAGGAGGTACCAGTGACATATTCAAGGTAAGCTGGCAATTAAATTTTGGAAGAGACACATGGGCTGGAGAAATAAGTTTATAATCTCTGGCAAAGAGTGTAGATCAAGTTGTCTAAAGCAGTATTCTCAAACTTTAGAGTGGATCAGAACCTATGGAAGGTTTAATACAGACTTCTGGGTCCCAGTCCCAGAAGTCAGTGGCTCCAGTGGTGGAGACCAAGAGCTTGCACTTCTAACAGATTTCTAGATACTGCCTGTGCTGCTCATCCAGAGGGTACATTTTGAGAAGAAGGTTTAGAATGAGACAAGAAGAGATCCAGAACCCAACCTTGAAGAACTTATTTTTGTTTAAGTGGAACAGGAAGAAGCTACCGAGAAGACTGAAAAAGGAGGACAAAAAAAAAAAACAGTATTTATTATATTTATCGGACTTAGGCTCTGAATACTTTGGTGAGAGCATT